TACTCTTTTACCAACGAATAGTGGGATTGACCGTCACATTATAACGCCCCCACGGCTGAAAGGGCGAACATGTTTGGTGGGACGGGGATTCGAACCCATGACCTTCAGATTGCGAGTCGAGTGCCTTATTCACCTGGCCATGCCGGGCCATTCTCAGAGAACGAGCACAACCCAATGGTTAGTGTGCCTGACAATGGATCTGAGTATCTGTGATTCTCGACCCGTTACAGCTGCTCTCAAAAATACCACGCCACACTTTCATTCCGTGGGTTTGTCATAAGAGTAACTGAAAAATCTCACTATTCAGTTAGCGTAACCAATAAGTTGGCGATAGGTGTTGTTGACCTGCTGCTTTCTCTCTAGTCTGTAACTTCAAAATGAGGGATGGCAATCGCAGATGGTCCTCAAGAGTCCTTGTGCGAATTTTAACAAACAAACAAAAACAAACTAACTTTTAGTATTACTTATAAAAATGCTGATATTGTTATAAGTCATATTGGCAACGATGTCGCTGCCATTGGTGTAAAAATGGCGTTATTTGTAAAATTATACGTTATTTAAGGTTAAAACAATTCTAGTTAGATAAATAACTCTTTGAAAATCATTAAAAGGTTTACATAATATTAATGTAAGGATATGAAATGTTCAAAACGTCTTTGTTAATAATATCGGTAAAAACTGTTGTATCTTCAATGGTTTAAGTAATGTATTTTAATTGGTGGTTAACATAAGCGAACAACTTGTTGGTAGCCATGTATATTTAAGATGGCCGAGGTTAATGAGTTCGTGTAGTTTAGTTAACAGATACAATCCTAATGTTATTAGGAGAAGCAAAATTATTTCATTAAAAATGTTAAATGACATTAATTAATAGGTTAACATTTTCGATAAGATTTTACAGCAATAATTACCTGTCATAGTCGATGACCTTGAGTAGTAGGTTAACATTTTCCATAAGATTTTACAGCAATAGTTACCTGTCATAGTCGATGACCTTGAGTAGTAGGTTAACATTTTCCATAAGATTTTACAGCAATAGTTACCTGTCATAGTCGATGACCTTGATTAGTAGGTTAACATCTTCGATATTATCTGCTGGGACATCAAACACTAACGCTTCATTATAAACAGGGTTTAAAGTTGACTTTTTGACGGTTGTCTTTTTTTTCTTTATTCTCTTTCCTTGACATATGAGAGACACTTTAACGTAGGGATCTGGAAGAATAAAATATCGGAATTTCAAAGAAATTTCCGGCTTTATTTGCAGGATTTAGGCAGATATTTCAGAGTATAATGTTATTATACAATTCTTTTGCATGCCAAGATGTTATATATAAATATTAGCCTTGATATGCTAAATCAATGAGTGGTTTGGTTTGCCAGTATGTAACTACATAAAACTTCATGTCTCACAAGTAATATACATATTGGATAATTCTAATCAAGAGAGTATTGCATTTTCAAGCTATATCAACTCTAATCAGCATAGTTAAATCTATGATAGAGCACGTTATTCCAGTAAGCATTGTTATGTATATTGCATACGGGTAACAACTGGCGAGGATTTTATTCATCTACACTCAGTTGTACGTTTTTCTCCGAAAAAGAAGAGGAGATATATTTAGCTATCCAGTTAAAAATTGGTATCAAGGTATTATATATGAAAATCAAGCGATACATTTATGTTTCCCAAATTTCATATACATAACTGACTGAGAAAAATGTATTCCACTGTCGTTCCAGCTGTGCTGACAAGAACTGACACAGCTAGAAACTGATCAAATTGATCCGATACGAGCAAAAATGTAACATATTTGTGAGACGCGTTGGCTTATGAGGTTACATTTTGGCAATTCTGACTGGTTTAAACTATCAAGGTAACTGAAATATGTATCGAAGTTTGCAAAGTTTAAGAAAAATATCCATAAATAAACTTTTGACACGTTTGTTCTCGTTCACAGTTGTGGATCCTAGGTGCTGAATATGAACTAAAACAAAGATGTAAAGGCAAACAAATATAAGGCATTCCACCTTTTCTCTGCATTTATTGAATTGAATGAAGAATGTATGAATCTTCAAATAAAATTCTGCAAAAGAAGGTGTATAGAGAGTATTTTATAATGATCGTTTATAGATTACAAATATACTCTCCAATGGCTCAGCGATAGTCTGAAACCTTATAACGCTAAAAACGGGGTTGCGATACCTGTGATAGGCACAGCAAAGGTATTCAATTGTATAGCTTTATGCTTAACGACAAACAAACAAACACATATAAAATAGTGCTCTGTAAAAAATTGGTGTTTTTCATGAAATAAGAAAGCCCTACAAAAAATTAACTGTGATCAGAGGAGTCAGTTTTTATGTTACTCGTTCCACAATATTGCACAATCGAAGTAATATTTTAAGAAATTAAAAAAATGATTGAAGAAGTCTAAGTCTGCTTTAGATTTTTATCTCCACATTTTCAAAGTCTTTCTCGCTTTCTGTCTCTATCTATATATATATATAAAGGGGAAGGTATATTTTACACTACAACTAGGAAAAGTACTATATAAAATAATATCAGATGTAACTTAATTTCAACAGAGAAGAAATATTTCACAAAGAAAAATGTTAAAACCAATTATTTCATACAGAACTAAGCTACTACACAGATATAGTTTTAGGGACGCAATATGTTGAAAGTTAGTGTTTTGAATTAGTTCCAACTTATTTTTTAAGTAACAAAGCAAAAATATTAAAAAAAACGAGAGAGAGAGAGAGAAATAAATGTTTATTTAGGCACGAAATTCAATTACATAATATAAGACAAACACAAGCTTTCATAATTATATGAATAGATTTAACGAGCCACTTTTGAATGAGGTGTATTTGTAATAAAGACCAGAATGTTATAAGACGATGTTGTAGAATCTGCACTTTTGGACTGTTGCGACACAGTGAAGTAAAAAAAAAAAAATTCATAAAACCATGAAATGGGCATAATTTGTACCGATAAGTCTAATGCGTGATATATATATTTTTAAATAATAATTAATTTGAAATGAAATTATAGTTACTATACTACATCTGTAAAATGGGGAAAGCCTTTATATAATCTCAACTATTTTTCCTTACGCAACCAAATTAAATTTGCCATATTTAATGAAATTGGTAATTTGAAAATAATAATTACGTTAAAACACATGACTGTTTAGCAGTTATCGTTTTTGAACCTGGTTAAAAGCTGTTATATTCATGTTGGTAAATACCAATTTGTATTCCTAGCCATTTTCGCGATAACGCCATCAACACATTTTTACACATGAATTTTAGTCGCAACTTCCATGTCATTAGGCCTACGCCATGATTTGACGAAGAATTCCAGAACATCACATTATTTATACATAATCAAACTTCACTACTTCTAGTGATATACAACAATATGTATATCTTAAGTGACAATACTAAAGTAGAACAGAAGTGAATAATCTTTCAAAGGTAATTACTATGAATGAAAGTGAGCTTTAATTTCAGAAAATATAATTAATTGAACGTCCGATATTTTGTTCTGTCAAGAAATAAATAAATAACTTTTTCTGGGTGTCACATTGAGTAATTTCTAGTCAATGTGATTAGATAGATATGATATTATTAATATATACATATAATAATCAAGTTTCTTATCACACTGTAATTTAGATTAGTGTTTGTCGTGGCGAATTAGGTTTTTCGATTTTTTATATAACCCATTCAACTTCGAATTTGGGTGTTAATGTTGATACATCTTCCTAAATAACAATTTCAGCGTTAGAAAAGAAAAATTATCTCAAGTTAATCATGTCGAAAATTTAGGAAATAATCACACGTTATATTCTTTGTTTGTCTTAGAGCAAAACCACATTGGGCCATCTGCTGTGTTCACCGCGAGGAATCGAACCCCAGAGTTTAGCGTAAACCTACTGCTGTCTCACCGGGGGACCGCACGTTATAAAAACGACGTTCCAGGCCCCGTACCAGCTTGTAGCTACTTCCTCATCGTCGATTTGACGATCATGATTGTGTACTATTGCCCATGTCACAATTTTTATTGTAACAAGCGGTCAATCTCAGGCCAAACATCTTGACAAACTTTCCACAGATCTTCTCTTGAACTTGTACTTCAGCTCCTAAGATCACGTTTTAGTAGACCAAAAGCACAAACGTTCATTATAGCTGCTACTTCAGAGTATTTAACAAGTATGTGGTCAATTGGAATTGTTATGATCATAGAATCTTTGGCCATCTTTTAAATAAAAAGACCCTTTGATTTCGAGATATTGCTGGAAACTTGTGAGCCGTCAACTTCAAATCCTTTTCTTTTATCTTAATAGTATCAGATGATATGCTCAGCTTCATTACAATGGCTTTCCGAGTTGGAGAGTTTTACTTTTGAAACTACAACCTTCACTTTGCGGATTAGGGTGTTAATCCGGTTAGCTTTGGTTGTTGTATTGGTGCCCGATATTATCTTGTACGTATCGCTATGCGAATTATTCTGCTTCATTGATGAATACTGAAGGATCCCTACTGAGAAACGATATATGTTTTGGCTGAATATCGTTCAGCAATCTTATTGTAGAAGGATTTCACATGACTTCACTCAATCATGTTGCCGGCCAAGTGACAGAACTACAGCAAATACAACTTATACAGCATAAATTGGAAAATAATAATGCAGAAAGTATACGGATCAGGTGTCACAGTAAGTTTTAACTTAGCAATATATCTTACTCTTACATATTTCATATTAACTTGTACTAGAAGAGATATGAGTGCTTATACTTGTAACGCTAGCTTAGAGCTGCCGGTTTGACCTACAATATGGCTTCTAAACTTTGTGTCACGTCATTCTATTATGCAGATAAAAGCCCCCTATGCAACATCCTTTCTCTGAAAGACCTGTGATACCTTTTCCAGCCATAAGTCTAATGGCGGCATTGCATTCAGTGTCGAATGATGAGAGTTTGCTGTGAACCAAACACATAGTTGTTCAACATGTTGCCCGTGGCGACATACTACTGCATTAGCACATGAAATAATTCTTATAAAGTGCGATTAATCCTTTGTATCATTAGCGATTTTAAACAAGACTTAGAGAGTAGAGTAACTGGTATTATTTAACATTATTAACATTAGTTAGCGATTGCTAGATCTTTGGTAAATAGTAACAATTAATATACATTTTATTGAATATTTTTATAAATAATTTGCATCTCAGGTTTCGCATTATTTTTTATTTTAAATGCGAAGTGCTTTTCCTACTTTAAAATACATCAGATCATTCAGCATTGTGAGAGGAGGAAGATTACATGGACTTTCAACTGAAAAGATCTGGAAGAATAATAAAATTAGCATGAAACACATTTCAGTTATGTCTGATTGCAATCAGTGAAACTGAATGTAAGATGGAGATGTAAGAAGAAAAAATCATGACTGAATCAAATAAACACCACATATTCTAAGAACATGTCACTATGGTGGAAACTGACTTTAAAAAACGTTATTAAAAAGCTATCAGTAATAAAGTAGCTGACTTAAAAACGTTAGCTTTAAATGTCAAATATAGTTATCTCAATACACGATGCAACAAAAGGATTTCTTAAATGTTCTAGTCTACCTCATGATACTGGTCCGCAAGGGAATCATGACGTCAGCGAAGCTCGCTTGTTTATGTTTTAACACAGACCAAAATACTACAAAACATATTGTTTGAATAGTTGTACATTTGCTTTCACTCGAGTCAGAGGTATCACTTTACTTTCAGCAAATAGTAGAAAGCGAATTTCAATCAAAGGATACCTTTCCGAATATAAATTTCTCAGGAACCTTTAAACATCAAGTAAAATAAACATAACACAATATACAGGGTTAATCGCACTTTATACAGACGATTTGCATATGCTAATGCAGTAGCGTGGCGTCTCAGGTGAGAGTCGTGGTGTCATGCTTAACACCTATATATTTAGTTCTCATCATATTTTCGATATCCGACAGTGCAATACCGCCACGGATACTTACAGCTGGACGATTATTTGCAACCCTTTCTGAAAAATCGTTTTCGTATAGTGCACTTATTAAACGACGTAGTGCCAAAGTGCACAACATTTTGAAGAAGTTACCTTTTAAAGTTTCCTATGGTAACAGGTAAACTCGAACAGCAGGGAGTTAAGGGCAGCAGAAATCTCAGAAACCGCACCCTAAACTAATCTCGAGTAACGCCCTCATCCACAAAGTGAAGAATATGGTTACGAAAAAGAACCCTCTGAACATCACCCTCCTTCCGAAAGCTATTGCAATAAAGTTGAAAATACTACTTTGCAGTAGTGTAACCTTGGTTTCAAAACCGGAAGGTGGCCAGTTTCAGTAGCTGGAGTATGCATGAGGGTATTCTATAAAAGTAGTCTTTGAAAAGGTGCGGAGGGACATGTTCTTCGCATCTCTTGTGAAAATTACGCCAATGTCTTTTTGTGCCGTTAACAAAACAATAAACATGAGCAAAAGACCATAATCTTCAAACCACACCTTGAAATCACGTACTTTCGTGCCTTTGTTCTGCTTAAACGTGATCTTGGAAAATGACTCCACGTAAAATGGAGAATACCTGGAAAGTATGTCACAATGTGTGTTGTCTAATATTGACTCCGCCTTTGTTAGAACGAAACTTATCGTGTGGGCAGTAACGCATAATCATGGACAGCATAGTTAACACGATCCAATGCAGCAGTAGACCTTGAACATTGTTTTTATAAAATACAACTAACCATCAGTATACAGAATTAAAATTACAACAAGATGATAAAACACGGTTTTTTTCACTACAACAAAATCGCTTTTTATTTGCCAAAATAAACAAATGTTTATGCTCATATAAAATTTAAAATTCTCGGTTAAACTTTTGCTCATTTTCGAATTTCAACACAGTCTACAAAAGATTACTCACAGCAAAGTATTTTCTTATGTTCAAGTGTATTTTTTTTACCAAAGCCACAGCGGGCTATCTGCTGTGTCCAGAGACAGGAATCAAACCCCCGATTTTAGCGGTGTGTAACATGTTCAACATGAGAGGCCTTTGATGAAAGTTTTTCAAAAACAGGTGTTGCGAAAAGAGTAAGTAAACATAAACGTGTATGAGCAAAATACTAATACGTAAATGAGAGTAATGATGTTAAGATAATAAGACAAAATCTGAAAATTGAGAGATACGAAATAAAATTAAAGGATGAACGAGCTTATAAATGGATTATATAATTATATTATCAAGATATTGGCTAACAGTAGATGCGAATGGAATAATGTGTTCAAACATTTAATTCGAATAGAATGGTTTTAATAAAAAAATATTTAAATTCAAAACATTGGCTGATTTGCAAGAAATAGTTGAAGTTCAGAGATACAAAGATTTTTTTTTTTACCAGACGATCCGGTGATGTCCATGGCTTTTAGGCTTCTTGCTTTCATAATTGTGACAGTAAGTCTACCGGCAGTTGGAAGGTAGCACAGTGATAACATCAGCTCTCCTAGATTTTCTTTGTCCTTATTAGAAACCGTCAATAACAATAACTATATAAAATAGTTAAACTAAAAAAAAGATATATCATCATCTCTTACAGAATTTTATTGTCAATGCGAAAAAAGCACTAATAAAAATAATGTATATGACAGTTGAAATTGAAAAAATAAAATATTCTTATTTCACAAGGATTCTTTGTTCTTTTAAGAAAACACGAATGGAAATAATTTCATGTTACTGTTAAAATCAAAAAAATGCAATCATTAGCTCTTTCAGGATGTTTTGTCCGAGTTAGGAGAATGTAACTATCAATCAAAGAAAAAATCAACCCTACAAAGTTACATTTGCTTTTATTAGCAAAGGCAAATAATTAAGTAAATACATCAATTGTAACTAAGTCAATGATAACGTTAGCATATATTAGGCCATTTATGTTCTTGTGAAAAGAGCACAATAATCAGTTATACAAGTTAATTCAGAAGTCCATTAACAGGCAAATAATTCAGCAACAGAAAGGTATAGGAAAATAACTGTTAGTGATATGGGCCTACTCTACGACATTAACATTGAGATCATTCAAGATCATCTTCAGAATCATGTCCTTCGGAAATATTATTAACATGCATCATACACCCAAGATGTCAAGATATAGACAACAGTAAATGAAAGATGTTAATAAAAAAATACCAAAGTCACTCTTCAAGAACAATAGTTATAGGCATAAATGAGCTCCAACCATGCATATGAAGTTATGTTACAAAACATTGAAATTCGATCATGGCAAAGTTGTTACAAACATCTAGGATTGAATTACAAGTCTAAATTTTGAATAAGCATGTCTTTATACCTTTGAAGGGTCCAACATACTAAGCCACTGATGAGGTCCGGGATGGCCAGGTGGTTAGGGCGCTCGACTCGCAATCTGAGGGTCGCGGGTTCAAATCCCCGTCACACCAAACATGCTTGCCCTTGCAACTGTGAGGGGCTTTATAATGCGACGGTCAATCCCACTATTTGTTGGTAAAAGAGTAGCCCAAGAGTGGTGATGACTAGCTGCCTTCCCTCTAGTCTTACACTGCTAAATTAGGGACGGATATCGCAGATTTTTCTAATTCTAACTTTTTTCTGTTGATTCTACGTGCTTTTGAATATTATAAGACACGTACATAAAATATTACCCAATCATTGCACTGCAGATGATCTCAAATCATCTAAATAATTGCAAAAACATTATTTTTTTAGTCATACTGTATGGAGAATGTTACCAGAACACCCGGGTTTCTGCCAGACTGTACGTTGAATGGTGTCTAGATGAACATCATCTTTCACATCACGTAGAAAGAAATGTGTGTTAGTGGCTTACTGCAAGTTCTTTAACGCATAGACACCATGCGGGAAGACCAAGAACAGTAATCAGTATTGACAATGAAGCCACCATTTTTTTGCATTTATAACACCTAGGTAACACTTTGAACACATCTATTGATCGGTTGCCACCATTTCGTGATACTGTTAAAATGTTTTTCTAGTCTGCATATATGCCTATAACTGTTGTTGTTGTGTAACGATTTTGGAAATTTTTGGTAGAATGTATCATATGTTATTTGATACACTTTTACAACTAACATAGTTGGGTGTATGCTGCAAACTAATAAACGCTTTGAAAGATGTGACCTTGAAATTACCTTGGATGACCTCAATTCTGTACCACTAACAATTATTTTCTTATACTTCTCCATTTCTGGATAACTCTTCTGCCAATGGACTTATGAATTGTCCGGTATCTATCAGTTGTAACTATAGTGTACAAATGTAATAACTGTAGTTCTACTGAATGATTTGTCACTGTTCGGAAATACACTTAGAATACCCCCCCCCCCCCCCAGTGGCCTAGCATTAAGTTTCCAGGCTTACGACGCAAAAAACTGGATCAAGACCAAGCGAAACCAAAACTTTAGATTAAATTTGCACACCAGTTATAGCTGTAGAATAGAAAAATGAATTTATTCAGTCGAGTAGACAGTTTATTCAGATAAAATTGTAAGAACTAGTTGTTGAAGAAGCACTTCCTGTTTTGTTCTTCTTTAAAATGTTTAACGTGGTAAATACTGCAGACGCTTATTTATTATTTATCTCAGTAAAGGCTACATGAGAGGAAACAAGTCAACAATATAATAGAGTACAACATCGACAGACATCAATCGAACATGTATATAACAAAGTAAAATATCTGCGTAACTGTTTATCGGGGATTTTTGGCATCTGTTACTGAAGTTTTGACCAATTAAGTATAATTTACAAAGAGATAACTTCAAGGAACCACATAATACTTATAGCGATCTGTACTTGATTTCTGTACAAACAAGTATGATTTTTATCAGAATAGAAAGAACTGTTGGGTTAACCTCCCCAGCGGCACAGCGGTATGTCTGCGGACTTACAACGTTAGAAACCGGTTTCGATACCCGTGGTGGACACAGCACAGATAGCCAATTGTGTAGCTTTGTACTTAATTTCAAACAAACAAATAAACTGTTGGGTTACATCAAGACACACCAGTGTGTGGTTCGGCCAAAACAACCTGCTCCAGGACACACTGTACGATATTAACAGGAGCGATAATTTCGCGATATTCCACCTTTTGTATCTCGAAATTTGGTAATCCAACTAACACATATTTTCAGTGAATGTGCTGTACTGGACTCTTAGTTCACCTACAAACTTTCAAGGCAATCCATTAAGTAGTACCTGAGATACACCATCTCCAATTTTGATTGAGTTTTTTCCTATTTTTTATTTTTATTTTCCTCGCACCAAAAGTACGGAACATTTACTTGATAGAAAAAAAATACTTAACTTTTATTGATTTTTTAAAAACTTGGTATATTGATATATCTTTTCAACCTACAATTTGGAGTCTCATTTGGTGTAAGTATAAGCCAGATAAAGTTATTCACCAAAAACCGCTGTAAATATGACGGAAAGGTTTGCGCACGCCTACGCAAAAAAAGTCACGTGAGCTATAGGTCTAACATTTTTACTACAGCTTCACCTAAGAGTAAAAGTGGACCATTTTTAGTTTTTTTATCATTCGGATTAAAGACGGCTGATTTAGAGCAACAAAACTAAAAGGTGAAAGGACGTGCAGATACACAAGTATTGGTTAGACCAAGCAAACTAGATTAACAGTTTCTAGTTCAAGTTTTCAAAAAAATCATACGGGTGGACGGTTATTATTGATTATTCATTCCCAACTTTTAAGCATAAGTTTACTAAATTTAATGAAATTATTCTAATTAAAAAAAATTTAGCGTCACGTGATATTAGCTTAATCAATTAGCATAAGTAATGATGCTTGATACAGTTGTACTTAATGCATGGAGAGGGGGGAGGTGATGACAAGAAACTGTTAATCTAAATTCCCTGTCGTTAATATAAAAGAAACTATTAACACTATCCTAGAGAGGAAAACTACCACCATATAGTTTAAATAATCTGGTTGGTTCTGTAAAGTAAAGGCCTGTTCCTAATAATACGGTTCCGATCATAAAGCTAATGTGGTTTACTATCGAGTGCCACTTTCTTATTTGGTGTGGTTTGTTGGTGTATATTGACAAAAAGTCATATCTAATCAAAAACACCTTAGGTGTGACAAAAAAGGTGCGGTCAAAAAAGGATTGATTTAAAATGAAAACAATAAATAAATAAACATTAAATATATTGAGGAAGGAACATATTACTGAAATTTAATTAAAATTGATAACTGAAACTAATTACGTGTAATTAATAGCCTAAAACATGCACGAGTTATTTACTTAACAGTGGAATACGCGATCTGTTATCTCTTCTACCACGGTTTGAGTAAACTAATATATTATGATCCATCGTCACAATTCAATTTATAGTTTAGATAGAAAATAACTGTAAATAGCTACCAGAGCAAATATATATATATAAATATTATGGTACAGAATAAAACAAAAAAGAGTTTCTTCCCAAAGGACGTTGTTTTGACATCGCTCCGGTCGTAAAAATAAAAAAAATATAAGCATAAAAATACGACAAATGATCTTATAAAAATCTAAAAGTGTCTATGAACAAGAAGGAAGATACGCAACAGTATGTTTTCTTTAGTGTATCCTAATTCTGTATTTGATGGCCCTAAAGCTTTCCATTCTGATTTTAAAATGTCACGTGCAGTCCAAGTCACGAGGGCTTCAGCAGGAACGTCGCCCACTCTCATTAAGATTTAACGGAAAAGTTCATGGATGTACGTAGGTGGCAAAGACACTCAACTGTAAGAATTGGAAATGTTTGCTATTTTACAGAGCTGGAAGCAGAAACTTTAGTCCATTTTACACTGTGTTTATTTCGCAGAATTTCTTTGTGCAAGAGTAATTGTCTTATCTTAAACAAACAGCTTGAAAATTATAAAATGTTTCTGAAGGATTTCACGCCAAAGAATGAAATCTTTCGAGTTTGCTTATTTGAGCAAATACGAACCTCGGCTAATATAGTTTTTGTTTTTTGTTAAAAGAATGAACAAATGTGTTTTGCGGGAACAATTAGAGATTGTATTTGATCTAAGTGTTAATTGTTTGTTTTTGGAATTTCGCGCAAAGCTACACG